TGGTGGACTGGACTGGTGGGTTTGTCTCTCGGTTCCCGAATCGGATCCGCGGCGCCGCTCTTATGTGTTTCTCCGCCGCAATGCTCGGATTCTTCGTGTGTTGACGGCGGAGGTTTTCCTTGTCCTCCACCTCGCTGGCGTTCTCGGTTGCTTTTCCGCCGTATGTTGGGAAGCTCTTGATGTTCGCTAGCGGAATGTTCGATTTCTTCTCGACTTGTTGGTGAAGTTTTTTCTCGTTCTCCGATTCTTCAGGATTTTTGCTTCAGGAAAGTTCATGGCGCTGCTAACTCTAGTCCGTATGGTTCAGAATTCACTTGACTCATTCTTGTTGTTTCTTGCTCAGTTTCCAGGCGACAGGCGTGATGGTAGAGGAGAAGAGGGAGAGGGCGGAGGAGGCGTCCGAGAGCCCGCAGAAATCTCCGCGCCTGGACCCGCTGGCTGCGTCCGTGGCAGGTCCTGGATGCAGCGACGCGCCTACGTCTCCGACGGAGTCGAGCGACGAGTGGCCATCGTCGGGGGAATCGGAGGCGGGGACAAGCAGCGACAGTACCGGCGATGGCGGGCGGTGCGAGCACATACGCTTGGACCGCGAACTCCTGGATATGCACGTGTATTATCTCACGGAGCAGCGAGCGGTGCTCCGGACGTGCCATCTTAGTAAGTGCAAGACGACCTGTAAGGGCAACGAAGGGATGATGAAGTGCATAGACTGCTCTAGATTCTTCTGCTCTGGGTGGCCGGTGAACAGGGAAAGTCCGCAGGAACATGCCCTCTGGCACGCCGGCGAGAACACTCATTGGGTTGCTCAGTGGTGCGATGAACCGAATTTGGGATACTGCTTCTTGTGTGCACGCGGTATGAGGCTCAGTGACCGGAGCGAAGATGACTATGCAGTGTCGGCCAGAAACAAAAAGGATCAGCAAGGACTGGGGGATAGCGTTGCAAAGTATGGCTGGGGATCGGTGTCTGGCATTGCAAAGGATGGGTGCGAGACGGGGGGCAAGAACCCGCAGAACCCTGAGAACACGCAGAAATACCCGCACCTGGACCTGCCTGCGTCCAAGGCACCTGTGTTGTTGAGCGAGTCGCCATCGACGGGGGAAGCGGAGGAGACCAGCGACTGCACATACGACATCGGGTCGTGCGAGCACTTGTTCAAGGACAGGGAGGAGCTGGATGATATGGTGCATGACATCAAGACCGCCGAGAAGCCCCCAGAGTGCGAGCATTTCCTGTGCACGACCACCTGCACCTGGAGGGGAGCTGCTGCTAGGTTCATGGTGTGCACGGAGTGCACCTCTACTTTCTGCACCGGGGAGAAGGGGGGCATGGAAAATCCGCAGGGACACGCCCGCTTGCACGCCACCAGGGACTACCATTGGGTTGCTCTGTGGTATGATGAACCGTATAAGGGCTACTGCTTCGAGTGTGGGCACGTTCTGAAGCTCGGTCAGGACAAGCTGAGCGATGATGAGTGGGCAGCTCTGGCCAGAAATAAAAGGGTTGAGCGGCCAATGTCGGCCAGTAATGGATGGGATGTGTGGGGAACGGTGCCCAAGAGTTATGCAAAGGATTTGTGGGCAATAGTAACCGGCAATGATGCGTCTGGGTATGCTAATGGGAATGGCTGTGTTATCAGAGGGTTGCCGAATCTTGGAAACACATGCTACATGAATGCACTGCTTCAGTGCCTCCTTGCGCTCAGTGAGCTGAGGACAACGATTTTAGGACCGGGTGCTCGGCTGGGGAGCATTGGTCTGCTCCTGAAGCAATTATTTGTGGAGACAAGCAGCACAAATGATGCCAGGCGCGCGCTGGATCCAGAGATGCTATTGGAAAGTATGCGGATGTTTAATCCACAGTTCAAGGGCTCTTATATGCAGGACAGCCAAGAGTTTCTTACATCTTTGCGCACTGCTTTGGAGGAGGAGACGAAGGGCCTAAACAAACTTCATGGGGGTGCAGAGTTTCGTCCAATTGGCAATTCCATTTTCGGGGGCTGGCTGCGTCAGACCTTATACTGCATAAGTTGCCAAACTAAATCAGTTTTGGATCTGCAATTCGATGAGCTCCAACTGGCACTGCCATCAAAGGATTGTCCAGCCAGGAGTGTTACGTTACCACCAATGACCAGAAGCGGTGGATCTCCGATGAAGACTCGTAAGGAACTATTCCAACAAACCGACAAGACTGATGGAGAAAAGATTCAAACAATTGCTGAAGGCTGTGATTCTCAGTTTCCTGGTTCAGAATTTGGAGATGAGGCCATGGAGAAAATACCCAAGCCTTCACAAGTTGGTAAGTCTATGTGCTCCTCTAGCTAACTTAAAACATAGAATGTGGAACAGGCCCGCAGGTGTGGAATAGTGAGATCTAATACAAGCTAGCCATTTTTCTGAACACGGGAATAGATGACACTTTTGGAAATGGAGCTCTGGTGATAGCTAAGCAGAGAAAATTGTTGATGCCATTTTACATATGGAATAAAGAAGTAGCAGCAAAGCCTTCGGGGTGGCTACGAAAAATTGGGCTGGATGTTTCAACAGTCTTATCATGGCAAAAGTGTATGCTATAGTGTAGAAGTTCGAATTGACATTTGAAGATAACTCAGGGTCTTGAGGCCTTACCTTCATAAAATAAGTGTTGCTCTAAAATGGTTGGTTAACTTAAGCATGTATGGTTATTGTCGAGAAAAGAGACCTTAGAATGTGGTGGTTAAAGATTCTAAAAATATGCAAAGGATGAGGGTTTCTGGTTGCATGATCTTGCTAATGCAGATAAAGCTAAATCCCTGTATGCTTGAATCTGCAGATTCTACTAAAGTGGAGGATGTTGCACACGGTCGTTTGCAGACTCAGAAGAATGATGTCCCACGAGAGATCATTGAAGTGCCAATAAAAGCTCTTGATTTCATTCCTAACCTGTTTGATGACACTGAAGGAATGGATGAATCAATAGTAGATCCTCACAGTCCAAAAGATACTGGTCCACCTCCACTTGTTGATATAGAAGCCAAGGAGAACACTTACTCAGTAGAACCTACTACAGAAGACAAGGGGAGAGCTCAGAGCAGTGATATTACTGATGATGAGGCAGTACATATGAACTCTGTTGCATCGCTCGAGGACTGCTTGACACTTCTTTGCTATTGTCCGATGAGATGGAAATGTGATAACTGTTCCAAGGTTCCTGAGCTGCCGAGAACAAATGGAAGTGAAAATGGTCAACCGATGATAGCAAGTACCAATGTAAATCCAACAGTTGAAGGAGACCAGACTGAACTATCAGACAGGAAAACATGCCCAAGTGAGCGATCTAATGATTTGAATAGCTTGTCGGTAGAATGTACTTCTACAAGTAGACAACCACATGGTTCAGATGCACATCATCAAGTTATTCTTTCTGAGAACAGAGTTCATGAAGAAATCACTTCAGGGATGAGCTATGATGAAAAGAACTCGGCCTCTTGCTGCACTACCAATAGAAAACCTGAAAGTCAGGAAGGTGTTCAGGAAGCTGCACCTAGTTCCTATCCAACTCATAAACAGACTGACCTGTTGAGTACCCAGGATAGTCAGGATAACAGCGACCAAAATCAAGGCAGTGGGAAGCAGGTAAAGCTGGATGATCATAGCGCACAACAAGCGGAAGAAAACCAAAGTGAGCAGAAACATGGGACTGGTGGTTTTCAAATACAATTGGTTACTAAGCTGCCACCTGTACTAACCATTCAACTGAAGAGATTCACCAATGCTCTTTCTAAAACGAGAGGACATGTGAGCTTTAAGGAGATTCTTCATGTAGAACCGTTCATGGACCCCAGGTACCGACTTCTGATAATTCTACACAGCAATTTCTAAGGTTGTTCTTTTATGCCTGTTCCATTAAGTTCATACCTTTAGAAATCCAGTAACTATTCTGTTTCATAGTTTGCTTCTACAAAAGCTTTAAGCCTTTAAGAGTATTCCTTCTCTGCAAAAACCGGCATTGCAGGTTACAAAAATGAAGGTTTTAAACACAAAAAATATGTCAGACTTCAGGAATTTATATGCAATCTTGTAAACTATTTTATAGGTTCAGGTTCAGACTACAATTTTTTTCTGGGTTCAGACTAGCATTTCGTACTTGTCAGGATATGATAATTGCAAGCTTATTTGAATTGTCTGAAGGTATCAGCTTAATTTGAGTGTCTACTGATAGCCTGATATGGACCAGAACCTTGTGCCATTGATTAAAACTGTTAGTTTTTCATTTTTGGTATAGGATACCATATTGGAATATGTATCTGATGTCGAGGCCGTCGAGCACAAACTCTATTCACCTTGGCAAGGTATCAGTATCACTGACCAAGTTATGATTATATTATCATCACCTGGGTGTAGTGTATAAAATCTGTTTGAAGTTTGGATTGTTAAGTATGGTTCTGGTTTTAGAATTGCAATTGGATGGATGTTATATTATTTATATATATACAAACCTAACACCTTTGAATGGCCTGTTGAGAATTAGTATGAGCCTTTATTTCTAAGAGTTATGATTAGTAAGTACGTAATCAGTCACTTGAGATACACTATATTGTTTTGTTAATCTGATAGAGCTTTCTTGTTAACAAATGTCCAGTTTGTTGTTTGAAGAAAGGCATTGCATTGTTGGTACTCCAGCTTAATCTTCAGTTTCTTGCATCTGGTCTAACTGTTTTTTTTTTCTACTTTTCAGTTCCGAGGACAAAGGTAACTCCAGCTATCGCCAAGTCGGTGTCATTGAGCACCATGGCCACACCTTGAATGTAGGGCACTATGCTGCTTATGTGAGGGCAGGTCGCAAGGAGCAGAGCAGTGGTTCTTCCTCATGGGTTTGCGCAACCGATCGCGTCATCAAGGAAGTCCCTCTAAAAGAAGTTCTCGGGTGCGAGGCGTACATGCTTTTCTATGAGAGGATGGATGGCCGAGGCATATCTGGGAGCCTACCCACCAACTAACCAGACCAGATGGACAATGAGAAAGGATGCACAAGTTTGAGATTAGCAAGCATGGCAATTGCCAAGTGTAGATAGATACACAGAGTCGTCATCACGTCCAATTTTGTTGCATTGGCTGAGTCGTTGCAGGTGTAGATTGCAGGCCGGATGGTCTGTTCACACTGTTCATAACTTTTTTTTTCTTTTTTTGCGGTGAACATAACCATTTTTCTGTCCATGAGAAACTCATTTTTTTGTGAAAAAAAAGAACACTGGATCTGTTTTGTTAGAACAACATTGACTCCTTATCGAGAAAAAGAACAACATTGACTGTGTAGGACAGTGGAAAACATGGAGCGCATCCCTTTGAATATTGTTGTGATGGGTAGTATTCTCCAATTAATAACACCTTCAGATAACAGTTGATGATTGTTCTCAGCCTCTTCTTCTGGATGTGTGGATTATGTGTGTCGGAGTAGCGAGTATAGTAAGTCTGTGTCCACGGGAAAATAAAATATAACTCTTCGGTGAAGAGATGTCTCCGGTCGTGTGGAGAACGAAGAGATGTCTCCGGTCGTGTGGAGAACGAAGAGATGTCTCCGGTGCATTTTCGGCCGTTAGAAGACCTTGTCGGCCAACATAGGAACACAGTCTCTCTTTGTTCTACAAGTGGACGATGGGGTAATATTTGTAAAATTTCTGAATAAGGGTATACATTTTCAGGATTTGATAAAGAAAATCCAATGCCACATTGCTGCATGAAGGCACAGCAATTTACTTGTAAGTTTCTGTGCAGCACAGCCAGTTAAAAGGACCCTCAATGCATCTAGACACTGGGTCACAGCCTAAACTCTAAGCACTTGACCTCGAGCTAACCTTCTACAGAGCATCTATGGCCAGACGCCTCAAGCCGGTCTCAAACACCAGGACGAGCGACCCAGTGCAAAAAGAAACCAGCCCACGCAGACACCTTAAACCGGTCTCAAACGTAGGGGCTGACCAGCATCTCTCATATTCAGCTCAAATCCGGGGCGAATATGGGGCGGCCCGGCGCGTCTGCCACGTTGAATTGACGACCGGGTTCCACACGAAATCACCCGAAAACCCAACAGTTCGACGGGCATCTTCTCTAGTGAGGATGTGAACACCTTGTGGCGCCGCTCAGACTCGCCGCCCGAGGGCCAAAGTCCGGCTATTTAAGCCGGACGACAACCCCCAACCCTAGTCACATCCGATTCCTCCCTCTCCACATGGTCAGCCCAAGCCCATCCACTTCTCTCCCTCTCTGCATCCCTCTTCCCTCGCCGTCCGCCTCTGCCATGGCTCGACAGAGGAAGACCACGTATTTGGATCTCCCACTCTCCATCACTTCCAATTCTTGGTGGACAAGGTGGCCAAGAAGCTTGTCCCGTGGGAGGGACAAAACATCACCACCATCGGAAGCACCAACCTCGTCAAGTCGGTGTTAACCTCTCAGGTGGTGTTCTTCATTACACCGCTAATTGCCCCTCAAGCACGATCCACAATGTTAACAAGCTCGAAAGGGCCTTTCTGTGGTCCAAGACGGCCAAGACTACGAAAGCTAAATGCAAGGTCAATTGGGACGACATGTGCAACCCCTTGGCCTATGGAGGACTAGGGGTCTTTAACACCAACAAATTCACGCGGGCACTTAAGTTGAGATGGCCTTGGTATGAATGGAAAGAGTCTTCCAAGCTTTGGGTGGGCATGGGCAACCCTTGTGATGAAGTGGACCTCGATTTCTTCTACTCCTCCGCCCCACCATGGTTGGGAATGGCGCGAGGACTCCCTTTTGGGACTCCCCTTGGGTTCTTGGGAGGAAGCTGAAAGATATTGCCCCCCTCAGTTTTGAAGCATCTTCGAGGAAGAAGGGGAAGGTGCGCGAGTCACTTATGGAAGGTGCGCGAGTCACTTATGGAGAACGCTTGGATTGCCAAAATCAAACTCACTCCCGAATTCTCTTGCGATCAAATCCATGAGTTTGTGGTCCTTTGGTCCCTCATCTACGACTTCCAATTGGACAGTCTCGTGGAGGATGACATTCTTTGGAAGCACATTGTTAGTGGCCACTACTCTACGACATCCACTTGCAAGGCACAAAATTTTAGGGAACACTCTCTCCCCTATGGACTAAGCGGTGTGGAAGGCTTGCCCCTAAGCCAAATTCTTCATGTGGCTAGTAATAGAAGATATGATCTGGACGGCCGTCCGGTTGGCAAAGAAAGGGTGGCAAAATTGCGGCCTATGCCCACTTTGCAAGAGAGAACAAGAATCCGGACCTCACATTTTCTGCAAGTATCGCTTCATGCTTCAACTTTGGAGCCTCGTCAACGATTGGATTCATATTGGGAATATTGATACCTCTCCATGGCACTTGAAAAACTCCATGCAAGATTGGTGGATCAACTCACCATGCTTGTGAGTTGGAAAATTTAGAATGAGAGAAATGCACGTATCTTTTGTTAGAAGAGCGCTCCATCTCCCATTCTTTTAAATGTGACTTAAAAAGAGGCATTACTTCGGGTCAAAGAGGGAGCTAAGAAGTTAGGAAACATAATTTTGGGGGAGTAATGCTTTTGGTTGTAAAGGTGTGTTGTAACAAAACTCTTTCCCCTCCTTAATTAATATATGAGCAAAAACTTTTGCCTCCATTTAAAAAAACACCACAAAGGCTATTGCTGCTAGTTTGCCACACAAACTGGGTAGACAGTTGGAATCTCAACATTGGGTCAAGTATCAACAACGGGAACTAGCATCTATTTTATTTTCTTTCTTTCTTCCTAAGATAATAGCTAAAAAAATCTGGAAAGCGTTGTTTTCTACTCCCTCTGATCCAAAATAAGTGTGGTGGTTTTAGTTCAAAGTATCTTTCTTCTCAAGATTACATATTCTAAGAAAAAGTTCCCAAAATCAATACATTATCATGACGAAATAAAGCAATGGATTAGGCACAACTAATTCAAGCATGAATTATGTGGGAATGATCCATAAAGTAAAACTTAAATGTTGGTCACTCTGATGAGTTGAACCCTTTTGAAAACAAGTTTTTAGAAAGGTTGAGAAAAAAATAAGCAGGGGTGCACATGCAATTAAAAGAACACAGATGCAATTTTTTGAACTAGAAAAGAAAAACATACTGATATATGAACATGCGTTAAAATAAAATGGTACATGTCCTTTCTATGATTCTGTAGCAATTTGCACCCTACACTTGGGCATGCTATGTACTCCATCCGGTACCCAAAATTGGTGTGTTTTGGACATTGATACAGTCTTCAGAATATAACTTGACCACTAGTTCCCATTGCACTAGGTACATGTACACCAAGTCAACAAGAACAAAACTATAATAGTGTGAAATTAATTCTCAAGACATATATACGAATATGGGTTTTCAAGATCCCAATCTATATATTTAAAACAATATTGATGGTTAGTATTCAGCGTTCAACTTAAGACATGTCCAACCTCGTTTGAGCCACCTTTTTTATGTACTTGAAAATCTCACACGGAATGAATGCATCATCAACAGCAATGTTTTTGGATGCCATGTCACCATCATCATAGTAGTTGGAAATTCCATCTACTATAGCACATGTAGAGGATGATTGCGTAAATATAGAGGATGATTCCAAAAAAGTTGAACAAGTTAGTTGCAACAATCCATGTATCGGCACCGGCACCGTTGGCATCACCACCATCTCTCAACGCAAAGTAGAGCAGACAGAGATCCTCCATACTGACGACAGGAAAATTCTGGCACAACATATGGAAGATGGCCATATCCATGAAAAGACCAGAGTCATCATCATGCAACTCAAGAACTTTTTCCCATGTCATATAGTCTGCCCTCAGCCTCACACTCTGGCGGCAAATCTAGAAGAATCAGGTGCCCGGTTGCCTGCAACAAGGACTGTGGTGCAAAAAATGCCGATAAACATAAAAAATGCTTCCTCGGGTGAAGCACACACTTAATAACAGATGCGAGCTAGTGCCCAATTCAGGGTCTGGCGGGTCACCAATGGGAACCTTCACAGGCAGACGAATATACTTGACATTAGGGTCCTCCCTGAGGACGGTGCCAAGTAAGATACCATGGAGGTAATCAACAAGCATCGAAAATTGCCGCAGGGCACCACAATGTCCGTCGACCACCACAGCAGGCCCGTGCATTGATCATTCTCATGGCTGATCACTCGTCGTGTAAGTAGGGGCGTCCAATCAATTTTTGGAGCCGGGACACATTAAAATAAGAATTTTATACAAATATTTATCTAAAACTATTTTATCATACTAATACATTAATCACTTTAATTTCCATTATTTAGTTGAGTAACCACATAACAACGTTGTGTAATATTACTTATGTCATTCCTTTTGTATCATTTTTAATGTGTTTCACTTAAAAAATCAACTCCGCGAAATTTTAATTGTATGTTTAACCAAAACTTGTGTTTAAATAAAAGTTTGAAATTTGTATATAAATAAATTGTATAGTACATATGTATATATTTGTGTGTATTCACATGTGTTATATATTTTAATATTATCAAATATATCATTGTAGAGATCTCTAGAAGTGTATTATCTAACTAATATTACTACTCCCTCTATTCACTTTTATAAGGTTTTGAAGACATTTCAGACAAGGTGCAAAGTATATCATTTTCAGTTGTCTGAAACGACTTATAAAAGTGAACGGAGGGAGTATCAAAATAGTGCTTTCTAGAAAATTTTGTTAGATAACCATATTTACAGGCCTTTCAAGAGTATAAATTGAACCATTTCCAAATGAGGCAAGTTAGATTCAATAATAAGTTGGCAACTGGTGACTAGTTTTTTTTGTCTGAAAACCGTAGAATAATAGTTCTACGGTAAAATTATATTAAAATAAAATTATGTTACAAATTACATGGTGAACCCCAAAGGGATTCACAAGTAGTGATCATACTTAGTGCAAAATGAAGACTAGCAAAAGATTGAGAAGCGACCAACCAAGA